AAGGCCATTCATCTCCATGACAGCTGATCAAACTGCGTCTGCTGGTACAGTTAGAAGCCCTGTTAGAATTTGTCAAATATTTACAGCATTGATTCTGTACGGCATAAGATATAATCTCCTAAAAACTTTTGTACATCAGGTCATATTCCTCAGAAAGCCTTAATGAATCCCCAAACTACAACATAGACTATCTACTTATATTATCTTTCAAAATAACATTTACGCTGGGTGAAGCAAAAAATTACTCAACTACGTGATCAGTGCACACTACAAGACAAAAATCAAGATTATGGGAATTCACTTCCAGACATTAACTCAAAACACTTTTCTGTCAGAATTTCTATCCGTTATTCTTTTTGCTCAGCCCCCCCTTGCTCTTCCAATGATAGCAAGAATATACAGAAAGATGTTGATGATGTCTGTGTACAGGTTAAGGGCAGCAAAGACATATTCCTCTGGACTCAGGGAGAGTTCCTTGTTTCCAAGCAGCAGCTGCGTGTCCACCGCCAAGAACTGTAACACAGAAAAAATTCAGAAGGAGTCAAATTGTTTTTTTTTTTTTTTTACACTAAACACCAAAACATGTTGTAACTCAAATGAAAAATCAGACACAATCCAGTTGGAGAGTTTTTCTCACTTACTTCTAATGGTATCTACATATACAGAGTTTGGTTTTATTTGTCTAGGTTTCTAGTATTAATAATAAGTATTAGCTGCTGACATTTATGTGTGGTATTCACAGCCAGTAAAAAAAGACATTTGAAAAACTCAACAGCAATGCGTCTTTCCAGCAACAATATCCCTTTACTCGGTATAATCCAGATTTCTCTGTCGACATGTTTTTTCCTTTTAGTTTTTTGGTATTTTGACAGCCAGAGGAGCGAGACAGGAAACATGGGGAGAGAAAGGGGTATGACAGGCAACAAAGAACCCCACCAGCCAGAAATCAAACTGTGGACTTTGTGTTTATGAGGTCGCCCTAATTATTAGCATACCAGGGCACCTAAAAGAAGAGCACCTAGAAAGTACTGGAATTGAAAACAACTGATATCATTTTTGTGGCTGTTTCAGATGAATGGGAAACCGTTTCTGGAAAGACATTAATGTTTAACTGTTTAAATGTAATGTTTCAATGCTGTGAGCTGTGCTGTGGTCAAACTCCACAGGCCACCTTTAAGGTATTTCAAGGTTTGAGATGGAAACCACCACAGTGCCATAATCTTTTCAGTAAAAAAATATACATCATTTACAGCCTGCTCAGTGCTATTTGTGGATTTATGTAGCAGGTTTTAATGGTGTACAGATTTTAACCTTTTTAGTTCGAGATTTTGTTTGTACTCATACAGCCCCCCTTGATTCCAATGCACAGGTTTCAATATTACTTTAAACAAGGCCAATACTGATGCCGACTGTCATCACCATCAACAGTGAAGCTGGAAGACAATTTTTCGTTTAAGGACTTACGCAGGTGAAGAGCAACGCTCCCAGTCCAGCATACACAATGTGCAGAATCCTGTCACGGATGAAGATGCAGAGGAGGCCGAAGACGATCAGGACAATACAACAGACGAAAAGCACACCGTAACAGGAAGTGAAGTCGTACTTGGTCTACAGGAGGAGGCAAAGAGTGGGTTTAGGGTTACTGTCACATCACAGTACGATCAATGTACATGAAATATGAACAAGCAGCAGGGAGAGACGGATACGAACCTGCAGAGAGAAGATGACCACTGTAAAGCACACAACTGCTGTGATACCCACTGCCATGACCACTGAGTCAGTGTCATGGAAGCTGGCGATCATTCCCACCATGTAAGACATACTGAGAGTCAGGACGGACTGAAAACAAGAAACACAAATACATTAACACCGCTGCACTTTAGAGTGCACTGCAGTTTCATGGCATCACTAAGAAACACTACAATGGTCATTTGTGAGGTTTAATCTGAATATAATCTCTACAGACTTTTAAGAAAGAAAAGGTTTTTGATCACGATTGTTGGCTGAGACCTCCCATATACAAAACGTTGTATATGGGAAGTTTTTCAACAAGGAAGTGATCTGACCTCAAGTTTTAGATCAGTTCTCACTGTACTTTCTGACTTGTAGTGTCTCCACTCTGTTTTCCATTTTAGAAAAAAAAAACAAAATCGGAGCAGGCTTACTAATGCAACCAGGTTCCAAGGATGTCTTCGGCGAACGCTTCCACAGCAGCTGATCACACAGACTGACACAAAGAATATCCCGTAGGACACCAAGTAGGTCCAGGTGTTCACCATGACAAATACTTTGACTTGTTCCACGAAGGTGAAAACAGCCACAAAGGCGAAGGTCACCATCAGCTGAGCAGTCAACACCAAAAACACCTGGAGGGAAGAGTGGATTATTAGGCAGCAGACATAGATGACACTGCTAATAAAGAACGTTTACATTTTTCATAAAGTACTTGATTAAATCCAACAAGGAGGTTATGTTTTAGGTTGTGTTTGTTTGTTAGTCAGCAGGAACACTTGATTCCAGTGAAAGTGGTCTACTGAACATGCATGTACCTAATAATTGTCTATCACTACATGTATTTCTGATGTTCATATCTTGATGCAGCTTTTACTTTTTTATGTTTGAGATAAAAAATGTGGAACATTGTGCAGCTTTAGCAAGACAAAATGTGATCTTGTGATATGTCAGAGTGAACAACATGGATAACATCTATATACATTTTATAACACCATATCAATATATAGGCTTTTGTGGTGTAATGTATTTTTTCTGGGAATTCAATTGAGAAACAGTTAATCCATAAAATAACCTGGCAGTTGATGGATAAAATGGCTGTTATTGACAAATCCAGCAAATGTAAATGCCAAAAAGCAGCCCTGCTCATTGGTTTGAAACACTGCCTACAATGACCTCATACACCAAGCCATTAATTAATTAATGTGGCCATTTCATCAACCACACGCTCTCCTTACCTTTCGAATGAAGGCTCTTCTTATGCTCTTGTTATCTAATCCAAAATCAAAGTCTTGATTCTCGTGAAAGGGTGGTGGCTCTTCCTCGTGGTGGTAAACATCATCTGAAGCGGCACAAACCAGAAATATCAAACCGATGAAATTACAATATAATATAGAATTCCACGTAATGTTAGAAATACTAACCGCTGAAGTTGCCATTAAGGCCCTGGCCTGGTGGAGAATATGGTGAAGAAGAGGGGTTGGCGCCATATCCTAAGCCGCCTTGAGGGTTTGGGGCCATTCCGAAAGCTCCGGGAACACCAGGTCCAAAAGCAGTGGGATGGGGGAAAGGGAAACCACCAGGGGCCATGAAACCATCAGAGGCAGGGAAGCCACCAGGGCAGTTGTGGAGCACCAGGGGCCCTTGAAACCATACGAGGCAGGGAAATCCACCAGGGTCCTTGAAACCAATCATGAGAGCAGGGGAAACCACCAGGGGCCTATGAAACCATCAGAAGGCAGGAAACCACCAGGGGCCATGAAACCCATCAGAGACTAGGAAGCCACTAGGGGCCATGAAACCATCGAGGTCGTGGAGAAGCCACCAGGGTGCACCATGACCCATCTAGAGGGAAGCCACCAGGTGCAGTGAGACCACCAGCAGCAGGGCCTCCGAACATGTTTGGCCCTTGCATATTCATGTCAAATGCGACAGGAAACACTGGCTGCCCGGGGAGAGAGGGTCCCCCCTGCACCGGAGTGTATTCAGTCTTCTCCGTGGTCATCTTCGGCTCAGGTCGGGAGCAGACACCGGCTGGAGTGTCGGATTATTGGGATGGATGTAAATTGTATAGGTGGGGGAAAAAAAGAGAATTGACATGACAGGTTATTAAGGTAAAAGTGAAGAGCAGTGTTTAGATCACAGATGACGGCTGACCGCGCAGGACCACCGCGGTGCGCTGTTACGTCACATTACGATGCTGACTTCCGGTCATAATTGACAAACGTCGATCGTCAACTTCATTAAAACAATTACTCACAGTCGGTGTAGATGTTGTCTCGTTTTTACACCATTAGAAACTCATTTTTGGGGGTTTAAACACAGATTTGTGCTCCGGAGGTTGGTACCAGTTAAAAGCCTTTACATTTTCCCGAGTTTCACTTCCACAGGGAGTCTCGACGTTTATCGGACTGAAATGTAGGCCCCAAATTACACTTTCAGTCAAGAAACGGCCCTTTAGCCGAGATAAAACACATTCAACGGGCTATTTAGGTCAAAGCAACAAATACAACTAATAATGTGAGGAAGAAGAACGAGTTTAGAGGTTAACATCGTAACGCTACAACAACAATATGGCCATGTTTTTTTTTTTTCTTCCACCAAACAATAACGTTTGCCAGTATGGTTTGACAACGGAGATGCAACAAAGATAAACCAAAAAATAGATATTTTAGGTGTGTGAAAACTACCTACCTTGCCCGCAATCAACGTTTCAGTCCCAGCTGGGTTCCTTTACAATAGTCTGCGGTATTTTTCGCAGTTTCTGGTCCACTTTCGTCAAATTTTTTGTTCACCCTGACTGCCAGGGAACTCCTACGTCAGCGCCCCCAGGATGCGGGATGCTGCGTTCAGGCCCGTGCGGTATAGGTGGTAAAGATGATATAGGTAACAATTTTAACGACATGAGATCGTTTATTTCACCTGGCAGCTCACGCTTGTATGAGCACAAGGTTGACCGTGTGCAAAAAATACTGCGCACATAATAATACAATAATGTAGCTCTACATCCACTGTTTTTTGTTTGTTTAATTACATTAAACGCGTTACTTTGGCTAAAGTAAGACATCCGTGTTTGCTTGGTTTGTAGAGACATAATAGTATAAAGCGCCAATTCGATTATATCCCATCCGTCGGAAAAGTCTGACTTTTCCAGTCATATTTACAATTTGGCTGTCGCCGTGAACGCTTTTTACCAGTGGGAAATTCGGAATTGCGACAACTCTACAGGACTTGAACACAGCATGTCAAACCAGTCCTTCCAGGTAGTCTGTTTAAAATGTGTGAGTTAACCCAAAGTGAAATTCACAAAATGTTATACAAATAAAGAAGCCACCGCCCGTAAGCATAAATAACGGGCTCAGGGAGGATAGCATCTTGTAAAATATGTGGCAGGAAAGTGTGGACCACATGTACCAGCAGGTGTCAGAAGACTACAGGTTTGGAGAGAAACCCAGGACCCAGGACAACCAGAGGGGGTCTCAAAAACCAACAGACTGGACTTCCAGACCCTGCAGCTGCCTGCCTGCTGTTCTGTAGTACCCCAGGTCACATCACAAGTTTCCTCACAGCTGTGAACAACATTACTGGTTCGGACTGTAGTGAAGGATTGTAAACAAGTGACTGAAAGAGGGAATGGACTGTAGATATTGCTCTATATCATTTCATTTTAGCATTGAAAATGTACATGTATATAGAAATAGTCTAACACTTTAGGTTATGTAGATGCATGTATTTTATTTGTTCAGCATGAGGAAACCTGGCAAACAGCTTATTTCAACTAAAGGTTGTGTAATGTGGGAAGAGGGACTGAACCTACTTACTATTTTGGAGTCACGGCAGGCTGGATTCATGTTACACAAACATCTTTGTTGATTTATAATGTAAACAGAGGCAAGCCCCAAACTCTCTAGCAGTGTCTCAAGTGTAGATCAGTTTCCAAAAATGTGTGATCCATTATTACTTAGTGACACTAATTGATTCTGACTCAAAATTATAGACATTCATTCATTCTTTTGCACTCTTTTGCACATTATCACTGTATATCTTGGGGGGGTTTTATATTATATATTATACTTATAATATAGTTTTAATATATATTATATATAATATAGTTTTAATATATGTATATTAATATATAGTTTTTATAATAATGGGTTTATATATATATAGTTATAATTATGTATATTATAATATAGTTTTATAATGTTATATTTAGTAATATATGTGGTGATTAATAATATAGTTAAAAATACTTGGGATACATAATATATATAGTTTATATTTTTAAATAATATTATATAGTTATAATATGGTTTAGTATATATTTTAGTTTTATTATTATGTATAATATTTATATTAGTTTTTTTTTATATATGTTTATATAGTATATAGTTATTATGGGTATATAATGGGGTGATATTTGGCTGAATGTTTTATATTTTAATGTTGTTTTGTAAAATAATATTCCATTTGGTAATTTTGTATATCTGGAGTGTTGTAACGAAAATAATTTTCCCCTGGGATTATTAAAGTATTTTCTGATTCTGATTCTGATTCTGACACAGGTCTCCTGAGATGTTGGACACACATCTTGCCTCTTGGGTTTCCGTCTCTGTTTGATATTGGTGTTTCTTGCTGAGAGTCGTTAATATAGGTCAAACAGGTTATATGACGATTAAGTAATAGTTATAGTTCACATTGTAGTAGGACTAGTAACACACCAACACATATTCTACACTGCACTGACTTTGGCAGTTGGTTAGATGTATACATGCATTATTTGGCTGTTTGTTACAGTGCAGTTGTGTACTCCTTGTATTCAACTGTGACCATCATGTGACCTGATTGCAAACAAATTAAAGGCTGTGAGTAAAACTGACATTACACAGAACACAGAAGGTAAATTTCCTTTTATTTCACTTATTAAACATTTGCATTATTTTGAGTCATGCATTACAAAATGCAAGGTAAAACAGGTGATAGCCTTGCATTATAAAACATTTCATGTCTAATGACATCAAATGTGAAAAAAAAATGAAAAAGTGAACAGTTCTCACACCGTCCTTACACCGTCCTTTATCAAACTGATCAAGTATAAAAAGCGACATTAAAGAATTAAGAATCTATTTGAGACAACATTAAATCTACAGAAAAAACAGAAAAGAAAATTCTTCTTCACTCTTATTGCTACATTTTCACTCATATTTTGTTCTTTATACACAGTGTATTGTTTTATTAAGCCAAGTTTGAACAATCATCATATGCTCTTGATCATTACGCAGCAGCACATGTTGGGCATGTTCTATTGTAGGCTTCATACTAACACATGAACACAAAAGTAAGGGGGTTATTACTGTAAGGCTCCATAATAAATACATAAATAGCATAATTTCAAAGGCACATTATGAAACATTTAGTCAAAATGAAAGATTCACATTGAACAATATTTCTTCCCTTTTGCTGAACTTATTAGGAGGTGCATTTTAAAAGGGAAGAAAAATGAGTGCTTTTACCAGCTTCAGCTGTCACCTCAGCATTTTGTCTTATGTACCATCAAGAAAATAAATCTTAAAGGGAACTAGTTGTAGGTGTCTAATCTATCTCACTCCAAACAGTTATAAAAATAGAACAATCCTAACAAAACACTGACTTCTATATCAATGTTTGCATAGCTTTACCAAACAAAATACTGGTCCAAAACTATGAAATACTGAAAACTGCATGATGACGTAACATACTGTTCTCATATGTATGCAAATGTTTTGGTTTGTTTTCAGAGAAATCGGGAAGAAACCTGATAATAAGACATGAATGCACTTGGGAAATTTATACAAATTCCACTGCAATATATATACAAAATTCAGCAATGGTTGACATGAGGTCCAGTGAGTCTACTTCAATTAACATTAAATATTTTCCTGCTGAATAAATATTAAATATTCATATATATATATATTCAATAGTGACAAAATACTGCTCTCCCGCTCTTGAATAAAATATACAGTAATTCCTCATTTGTCATTTTTGGTGATTTTCGTCAGGCTCTTTGGTAGAAGGACTGATAAGTTAAAACCTGAAAGTGACAACCATCGTTCAGCCCCTACGGTCTTCCCCCTTCTAACTTAATCCTCTTCCTGGGCGGTGGTGACCTCTCCCGTTTTCCTCCTTTGAGGCAGTTTTCATGGTTTACTGCATGCGATCTGTCTGGAGCTGCTGAGGTTGATACTGGCTGAAAGCGGCAGCAGCAGCGGCAGCTCCTGGGGTGGCAGCAGTGGCGAGCGGCTGCTGGACAGTGTACCCGTACCCTGCGGTAGTCATGTAGCTTGTTGGTGCTGGTGAGGCCGCGTACGGATACTGCTCATATGCAGCAGCGGCGGCGGCAGCAGTGGCAGCAGCCGCAGAGTATTGGGCATAGGCTGCTCCAGTATAGTCAAGGTATGGGGAAGTGGCAGCAGCAGCTGTTGCAGTAGCAGCAGACGGTTGCACATGAGGGATCACCATGCTGGGTTGAACAAAGGCCTGAGGGTAGACGTAGTGGGCAGGGACTCTGTAGGACACAAAGACACACAGGGTCAAAAGCAGAGACACAGCCAGTAATCTTTCCAACGCTGAAACTAAATTCTGGAATACTGAAAAGCAGGCGCCACAAATACGTCAATCCAGTCCTCAGAACACAGCAAATCCATTCATTAACTGAAAAACCCTACCTAGAAATGAAAAGTTTAGGAAGCAGCAAAACCACAAAGAAACACAAGCGCAGCTTTTAATTTCAAAAAGCACCTGAATCTGAAATACAGTAAGGCATTAAAAGAAGACACAGCCCAGCTCTGCACCCATTGTTTCACTGAAAACGGTATTTGACAAAATGCGAGCTTATCGCACACCACCACAACATATCAAGAAAAGAAGTGGACATTATTCTGTCCACATACTGTCACACCAACACCACATATACAGGCATGCCCACACATGTTAATAGGTCCTTAAACACAAACATATAGGGCAAAAAAGAGGCTTTTAGATTCTTTAAAATGGAGGAGCTCATAAAGGCAAAAAATAGCTATGCAGTGAATTAACCGTACGGTATCTTATCAAGTGGGTGCTTGGTTGTATTAGGTTCTGCAAAGGCCATGTTGTGTTTATTTGTTTTATGCTATAAGTGTAGGTAATATTCTGTATATAGACCAGAGTATAAATGGATAAATACAAGCCTGGGCATCTGGGTAACTTTGGCTTCACCTTAAACTGGTGTTAAAGTCACCCTCAGTAAATATATTTAAGGAGCAGGTGTGAAACTGTTATATCTGTCCATAGACAAGTCCCCCCTCCCCCTCCTTACAGACATACACCCCCACACAAACATACACACGCCAACTTGACTGACAAGGGAGGCTGGAAGCAAGCTATTTTTGCTACCCTTGTCATCTCCAAAGGACAAGCTGATCTTCTCCTTCAGTAACACATGGCAGGGCACTCGTCAACTGTAATGGTTGCCTACGCCACTCTACGGCCTCAGCAACTTAACTGAATTTACCTCTTTATTGTGGGACTGGAGGTGTTCTGGTTGAACAAAATGTTTCCCTTGTTACAAAGTGGGATGCCTGATCCACTGCTTTAAAGAAGAGAGAACTCTTTTGTGCTATAGCAAAACAATCACAGAAAATGTTACAAAATAATGTTAATTCTTGCATTAAACATGGGAAACCTAGTTAACTTCCAACTTGACAAGACAGGAACCAACATGCTGGTATCCTTCCTTTGTGACATGACCTTGTTTTAATATCAACAGTTCAAGCGCTGAGAGGGCACAGCTGACTTAAGCCATCTCTATTGAAAGAGATGGGATGGACATTTTGT